CAGCTCAACGGGCAGTCAACGACATCGCTCAACAAGCACCCCCGTTGTATGGCGAGCACCAGTTCGATCAATTATATAGCGAGGTCGACCCTAGCGGCTACCGGACGCCAGGACCGGGCAGCGGACCGGGAACTCCGTTTGGTACTCTTAGCCGGAATTTGTCTGCCGAGAATCTTGCATCGATGAACGCCTTGACCAACACCGATATCTCTGCTTCTGCCTTACATAGTCGACTGTCCAACCTGCATGCCAGCAGGTTCGGCAACCTATCGCCGTCTGATACTGACGGCCATTCCGACGCCGAACAGCGTCGTCTGGGAGTCTCCGCGGACTACTTTGGCCCCTCTTCTGGCTCCAATTCGCACAGTCCCGCGAGTCCCGAACTTTCCCGCAGACCTTCCGACGAGGGCTATCACGACCATGACCACATTCCGTCCGGAATGGCTACACCGTTTCATCCGCAGTTCGCTGAAGTTGAAAGCCTCAGCCGCGTCCCAAGCTATTCGACCGCGGTCAGGTCTACTGTGGGACCATGCGACAGTGAACTGCCAGATTATCTGGCTGTTGTTGCCGAGGATACCGCCATGCCTACCCTCCAGTCCCCTCAACAAGCCCACATTCGGAGCGCCGGCCGTGGAGCCTCGACGGGAAACACCGGCGTCGATGTACATCACTTACGTTCCGGCCTCTTCAACTCTCGGACGTCAGCTCATCATGACGATGACGATCGCAGACTACGTCTTGTTCAAGCTCGCGCTCGGGTTTAAACCACAACTAATGACAGATCAATTGCTTCCTTTATCCATGAAGATAATCTCCCATCACGACACATCGGTGCATAAATCGCCAAAAAAACAAAAAAAGGAACCGACTCACTCTAGGTGGCTCATCATCTCTATGAGCTATGAAGATAATGTTGGCGCTGGACGTCGAAAAGCATGGCATATCACATATTTGATTCTACTTAATCGGAGGACAGGCGCCTCCATGTTTTTTCTCGTACATTATCATGTACGCATTTCGCATCATGTCACCTTTCTTATCATAATATTTTAGACCAGGGCGGAGTTTTCTTTTTCGTTTTATGAGGCGTTGTCGGTCAAAGGTATCATAGAAGGATTCGGGTATCAACCAAGGACTGGACCTATGGTTTTATTTCAGGAATGAAATATTATGAAGGAGCTGGTTGCACATATTCAGCATGAGTCAATGTACATCATTTGTACTCTGTACACCTTGTTAATGCTAGGCGACATTTACAAATGCAAAGGATCATAACATAGCACATCTTGACCAAGGTCTTGACTGCAAGAATTTGAAGTTTCTGAACAACAAGTATGCTCCAAACTACACACTACCTTATGTGGGAAGACCACGCGAGTATGTTATCACCCATCTCACTGGTGCACGTATCTAAGAGAAACCATTAAGAAATTAATCGCAATACCATGGCTTGGGCAGATATACTACTATGATCTGGTAGCATGTCCCTAAGATCTAAGACCTCAGATTAAAACGTCTTCCCCTGAAATATTTTCTACGCTTCTTTCATCCAACAACCTACTCATCTCATCGGAACACCAGCAAGGGACCCCTTGCCGGCCGGCACGGCCAAATGTCATCATAATCGCGACAATCATCGGTACCATCACCCGTTCTACCGGAAAAGGCCATCAGAGCTGCCTATCAGCTTGCTATGTTGCTGAGTATTCCGCAACTTAGCGATTAGTTCTCCTTGCTTAGGCAATACACGGTTATCTTGCTCCCTCCATGCTGATCTTACCAGTTGATATCGGACATTAACAGCCGACCTTACAGTTAGATAGCCTCGCAGCATCTCTCTCTCTCTTCTAGAGAGCAATGAGTCCATGCAGCTTCATCTTTCAATTACCTCATAACAAAGTCTAGAGATAGACGATGAGATGCAGAACTGTCGACGGTCCATTGAGATTAAGAATAAAAGCCTCTTGACTTGCTTCTTGAGTGCGGAGATTTTCTTTTTATCACTCTTAATCAGCGATCACCTTTTGCCCCGTCTGGAGTATCGAGTTACTTGACCAGGTAATCAATCGTCAGTAGGAATGAGCGACTGGGATGTTCTGCCAGGGCTGGCGTGCCTCAGGTGTCTCTGTTGCCTCTGCTAATATACTTACACTTGGACTAATCTGTACATCACTACGTTCAGCGCATCCTATAATAGATAATCTACTAGTAAGGTTTCTAGATCTAGATTCTATAATGGTGTAAGATCGGCCGGTAGAGTCCGACATAAGGGTACATGATCAGCTTGAAGGGAGCAAGATAGCCGTATATTGCCTAACCAAGGAGAACTAATCGCTGGTTTCGGAACCCTGATCAGCTTGTGGAGGTAAATACAGAGTGTCACGTGGTCTAGTACGTCCTCAGGTGCGGGTTGTTGGGCAAGGAACAGTACAATAGTATCAGGCAAATGGCTCGGTTCCAATAGAAAAAGCTTAACGGACCCATGGTCTGCAGTCAGTCAGAGTAAAACAAGGGTTTTGTCTGAGATCTCAAGTGTTCGTGTGAAATTGACGTTGGCCAATGGCTAACTGAGGGGTTCCACAACGCAAATCAAGAAGTAGTGACCTCATCGCTCCCAATCCGGTGAACAAGCTCCCTTTTAAATGCTGGCAATCCCTACTACCCTTCTTCCTATCTATCAACCAAGCCAGAACATATAGCCTCTTTCGCTTATACTCTCTGAGAGAAGAGAGATATTGACCTTTCCATTTTGTACATGGTAAGTGTCCATCTAGCCATTCGGTCTAGCTGTCTAGCATCTGGCTATTGACCGCTCCGACCCACCCCCTCCGCTTTGATTATTGACCCCTCCAACTAACCATCTATAGTTACGTATTCGCAGTAGACTACGGGGCAGTAGACGTACTACGGCAATAGCTGAGCCTAGTCCAAGCCAGCGCTTCGGCCCTCCACGATTTCCCGCAATTGCATCTTTTTTTCCTTCTTCCCTGTATTGCTGAATTAAGTCAATCAGCTTCTGTTTATTTCATTCTGCTTCAAATTTAGCACTTTTTATTCAGTCAGGATGTCGGCTGCAACCAGTCCCGTGGAGCAGAAACTCCCTCACCGTTCGTCGACGATGCGGAGCTCCATCGGTCCGGGCCGTCGGGCGTCACTGAGCGACGACGAGGCCGTCCCGGGTTCGGATACCAATGAGGTATGTCTAGGGTCTACTGATGATGGGTAAATACTGACTATGCTGTGCTGAGTAGACTACGGGCCTTCTCCTTGAGCGTCTCCGTGCTTGGAAACACATGTGTGGTTATTTGGAGGATTATGTGGAAGTCACAGCCAAAGTGCAGAAGTCGCAAGCGAAGGATTATGAGAAAGTTCTGAAGGTGTGATCTGCCGTCCAAGATGGTATCGAAAGACAGGGTGCTGACACTGCCTGGGTAGACTGTCAGCGATCCCCTTCGGGAGGGGCACCATTTCTCTCAGAGCGCGGGCGGAGTTTCGGCATGGTTTGAAAACATTCGGAGCAATACTCAGGTATTCTTTCCCGGCATGTGTACCTGTGGTTCGCAGCTACTGACAGAGTGCGTAGGGAATCGTGAATGGGTACCTTGACACGGAAAAGAACCTCAAAGGATCCGTGCTGCCGACCCTTGAGCGTCTCCACAAGGAGATCAAGAACAAGACCAAGGAGCTGCAGAGCGGCGCAAGTAAGAGCGCGAAGGCCGTTGAAAAAGCACGAGGTGTGACGCAGAAACATATCGAGCTCCTCGCTCAGCAGGTCGCATCGTTTGACTCGACTGCGGGCAACAAATTCGACCATGCCCACGACCCATACATCTTGCGCCGCGGGGTCAATCACCGCTTGAACAAGCAAGTCACCGAGGAGAACAACAACCGTCAGGATATCATTGCTGTGCAGAACAACTTCCAGCAGTTCGAGGCGCACGTTCTGCAAACCGTCCAGGCCGCCCTCGAGCAGTTCAACGTGTTCATGGGCGGCCAACTCGACCGGCAACGGAGCATGTACAGCGACATGCTGGGCGCTGCTCAACGTATTCCTCCGGACTTTGAATGGGTTAATTTCATCACGCGCAACGCCAACGTTTTGGTAGACCCCGACTCACCGCCGCGATCGCTGTCCAACATCTCTTTCCCCAACCAGGACCACCGGGCCACCGTCCCGCTCATCGAGGGCAGTCTGGAGCGCAAATCCCGGGCCATGCTGAAAGGTTACAGTACGGGCTACTATGTTATCACACCAGCGCGATACCTGCATGAGTTCAAGGACAATGATGACTTCCGCCACGATCCTTCTCCCGAGCTGTCTCTGTACCTACCCGACTGCGTGGTTGGCGGCGTCGACGGTAACAAGTTCACCATCAAAGGCAAGGATGTTTCCGGCGGCAAGGTCGGCAACGCCTTCCACACTACCAGCGAGTTCAACTTCAAAGCGCATACTCCGAGTGACGCGGAGAAATGGTGGAACGTCGTCCGCGACGCAGCCAAGAGTGGCCCGGCACACTCGCCAGTATCTCCCACTAGCCCTGTAGCAGCTGGGGGCGCTGCCACTGCTACCACCGAGAGTGGTGCTGCTGCTTCGGCTCCGGCTCCTGCTACTGCTACTGCAGATGCTGCCGCAGGCGAGGCACAACAACACCCTCCGGCCTACAAGGAGCAGGAAAGCTTTGCGCCAGCCGCGCAGGAGAAGACCGCTGCCGGCTCGGCGGCGACACCCACCACCCCGGCAGCTGAGACCGAGCTCAACCGCTCGACAAGCTCTGCCACGGGCCACTACCACATGGGACCAGGTGGATCAGCTGTTGCACCTGACGCATCTGCTCCCGGTGTCGAGAAGTCGTGAACCAGCCATGCTGAAACTTCTGATTTACTTTTTTCCGTATATCGCAGAGTATAATATCGATCATGTCTATAGGATGACCATGTACTTAATCAGTATACATCGAGAATGCCGTACCTGTATCCAGTGTACCTATCCTGTGCGGTTACCCATCAGAATCGGCAGCCAGGGTATCATGCAATCTCTTCTCAATCGCACCCGCAGACTTATTTCCTGCCACCTCCCAAACCAACACAACAATCGATTTCACCCCTCCGCCCCGATCCAGCGGCACAACCGCCCAATCCTCCAACTCATACTCCAACCGAAACCCATTCTTCTCAAACACCCGCATACTAGCCCTATTATCCGCATATGCCGACGCCTTGATCACCCGCGCATTCATCCGCGGGACCGCCCACTCCTCAACCACAGCCTTGATGACAGCCGTCATGATGCCTTTGCCGTGATGCGCAGGCGAGAGAAAATCTTCAGTCAGCGTTAGCACCACCATCACCTAGAAATATATACGTATATGTATATGTGTAGCTAAAAGGGGAAGGGAAACGCACCACCAAACCCCCAGACAATCTCTGAACTGCCAACCCCCAACGCGGCATTTCTGCGCACCGCCTCCTCGCGCTCCGGCGAGCCCTTTTTGAATTCGTAGAAGGCGTACCGCGTTAGTCCTACATCGCCGATGAGGACGTCACTGTCGTTGGTGACCTCCCGGATGCAGGTGAATGGCAGCCCGTCGACGAAGCGGTGGGTTTGCGCTGCATGCAGGAGGGCGGTGGCTTGTTCGTATGATGTCTGCAGCCGTGCTGTGGCGTGTTCGGGGAGGTATGGGACGGGGCTAGATTCGAGGTAGGGGTAAACCTGGGGGTTGTTGAGGTGGGAGATGAGGGCGGAGGAGTCGTGGGCGTTTGGTGGGCGCGGCGGGGTGAGGATGATGGATGAATGGGGGGCGGGAAGGGGGATGTACGGTTCGTTTGTTATGGGATTGATTAGGATGGGCATGTTGGATTGGAAATAAGGTCTGTAATTATTGTGATTGACTTGGGTATACGGAGTACATGTGGCTATATATGTTCTGGGGTGAGTCATTCATGCTAACTACCGAGCCTTTGATAAGGGGCATAAAATACTACATAGCGGCTTGGCTGCGGATATTGACTCAGATATAGAAACAATGATACTATACACAAATCCATGAACGACGTCTTAACCTCGTATTGACCCTGGAGTTGAGGTTAGCCTCCCCGGCGGACCCATCCATATTTCTTGGCTGTGGATATTTCGACTCCAAGGTCTGCACAAGAGGACAAAGCGCAAGAGGGAAAAACAGATGCTTCATGTGTACACACTGCTGCGGCTGCAGGTAACAAAAATGGGAATCGGATTCTCAGATGCGACCAAGATGGATATCTCACACAAATGACCGGAACGCTCAGAAATGAATATGGAACATATGGAAATTGTACAGACTCATGATAGGATTAAAGAAAGAAAATTAGAAGTCGTCAGGACTCTCAAGGTCCGCCAACTTCTGACTGAGAAACCTTCCCAGAGCGGCAGCCTTTGACTCGAGCGCCAAGAGCGTCGAGGGCGATGCAGACAGATTTAAGCTCGCCAGACGAGCAAGGTTGCTGCTCCGGTCAATCTCGTACTGCGTCTCTAGCTCTGCGTCTGCTTGTACGTCAGCTTCGCTCTCGTTGCGAGAGATGCTGGTCGGGGTAGAGGTCGTGGTGGTTGGCGGTTGGCTGGTGTGTGTACCATTGGTGGTCGGCCGGTGTGCATTCGACTCCGCTGCCGACGTCGCCTCAGTCCCCGACTTCGCAAAGCCGTTTTGGTGAACTTGCGTTCCGTCGGCAGAACTGCCCTCGTCGACGTCAGGTTTCGACGGCCCCACAGCGGCCAGCAGGACTTTGTCCGCTATCCTGGTCACAACGGCAACCGAGTCCTCAAGCTCAAAGACAATAGAGCCGACGTCGCCCAGGGACACTGACTGTGCCGTGACATATGACGACGGGTGACTGGCTGGGTTCACGCCTGTAAGATTCCCGCTCGAAGCGTTCTTTGCGTAGCAAGTATAGGCAGCTCCGTATGTGGCGCTCAAGTTGCGCAACTGCCGAGATGAAAGCGACGAGGCATAGGCAAAGATGGCGCCGTTTGTGGCAAACACCCTACGAGTCGCAAATGTCAGCGTTGTTACACCGGTAGTCAGGAAATGACATCAGCATACATGATCGTAGTGATCTCCGGAGGCGAGAGGTTGTCCTCTAGCAAATCGCTGAGGGCCTCTGCATCGAGCATTCGGATGTCCGGAAGTCCCGGGATCATTGTGTCGTCGTAGCAGTCGTGCTCAGAGTCAGTTTCGTCGGCAATCTCGTCTTCGGACCTGTCGTCTTCAATAACCCAGTTCGGAGGCGGAGACCAGGAACAGTCCTCAGGGAAAAAGAAGCAGTTGTCCGAGTAGTCTTCGTCGTCGTGATCGTACTCAATAGGTTCGTTTGAGCACTCAAGGAGATTCTGCGCGTGCTGAACGTGGCTTTGTGCCCAAGGTGGCAGATGTGGAACCTCGAAGACTCTGGCAGCTTTCCGGTTCAAATGACCAGAACGAACTGGATATTCATATTCAGCCATCTTTCCTCTAACAGGGATGAATTCGAACATAGAGTGTATGGATGAGCAGGCCACAATAAACAGAAAAGTACAAGAATGAATCACACTGTGGTGACAGTCACACAAGGCAGCAATACGGCAGAGCGTCAGCGGACAAGTACTGAGTCAAGGCGCTTCCTGTTCAAGAGGAGCAGGAGACGATCATCAGTAGCACAAGTAATACAAAGCAAGAGAGAGGGGAAACGGTCTCTTTTCTATTCAACTTTTGACAGAAAGGAAAACAGTAAGTTCATATCGTGTGGCCTCATTCGAAGTCCAGAACAAACAGCCGGAGCCATCGGGGAGACAGAGCTCTCACAAAGTCGTCGAGGAAAGTGGGGATGGAAGGCTGTGGGGGAAATAAAACGTAGGCAGGAATGTGAGATGCCATATTTATTATTATTTTTAATAGCCGCAGTAAGGCGCCAGAAATGAAGAGAGGCTCCGAAAAGGGGAAAGGGAAAATACCAACAGGAAAAAGAAAAGAAAGGCGGAAATAGTCCGGGGAATGGTTGGCTGAGCTGTTGGCGATGTTGAGCCTGAGCACGAGAGAGGCACAGAGGAGAGAGAGAGAACGGTATTGAAATTTCACGGACCTTGGTAGACCTATGCAACGACCAGCGTTTGCAATTCAATCAATAACAGGTTCTCACGATATGAAGCTGTAGGATAGCAGATTAATATTAGTTGTCAAACAACAGGAAGCAGAAGTAGAGCGGATGAGATGAGAAAGGTCGAGGCGCTGGGGGATTTGGTGATGGACGGCGGAAAGCGGAGAAGATCAGCCGATCATGGTGGCCTGGTTTATCAGGCAGAACTAGAAAGGTGGACTACCCTGTCAACTAAACTTAACAGACCATATCCTATCCTCTAAAGGTAGAGATTCGGCGCTAGAAGAGCTTACAGCGAATATGTATTCACTTGATGGCTATATGGCGAGTATCTTGTAGGATTACCCAACGCTACGCTTGGTACCATTCCAATACCTCTAGTTCTGTGACGTATGCAGCAGAAGAGATGAGAATCCATCACCACGGAGCATACAAAATAGCTTCAATGCCTCACTTGTATGCTTTTCCAGTCTCCTCGGAAGAAGAAGAAGCTTTCCAATCATTGAAGGACTCCCAATTGAAGCGGATTAGAAGTACCTCTGTAGGAATACTGACCCTGACCCCAATGTTGGAGTATCCCACCATAGCGTCATAGGTGACCCCACCTTTATTTGCTGTTTTTTCTCCTCACGCCGCCGCTCACTAATTAATAATAAGACGCATCACCACTTTACCCCTCCGCTGCTTTCTTTTGCTCTATGTTCGCTTGTCGCTCTCTTCCTGCGTCCCGTCCTTCTCTCAGGGTCCCCATTCCAAGAACCTTCATCCTATCAGGTATGCGTCTCTCATATTCCATCGGTTCTCTACCCCGCTTATCATCAATCATTTGCTAATGAGCCGCTGCAGGAACCACTACTAGATTGTTGGCAACCATGGCGACAGAAACCTCCAAGTATAAGCTTAATCGTTAGTATCTTCCCCTGTGATTGGACCTAGAGTGACAAAGGTACAAGTGTTTGGGTCTAACCTAGCTTGCAGACACTATGATCCGGGTCAAAGACCCAAAGAGATCAGGTGGGTAGTCCAAATAACTACGCCGTCATTGGCTTGGGCGCTGATTGCCTTATTTGTCTTGTTTCTTCAGTGGAGTTTTACAAGTTCCTTGGGCTCAATCAGATCCAGCAGCTCGACTTTCCTGAGAACAAGTTCTCCCTTTACTTCCTTGCCTACAACGGCCCCCAGTCGCTCCAGGGTGACCGTCACTGGACGGACCGCAACGCCGTGCTGGAACTCACGCACAACTATGGCACGGAGAATGACCCCAATTACACAGTTGCCAATGGGAACACGGAGCCCCACCGCGGTTTCGGACACATCGCCATCTCGGTCGACAACATCGAAGCGGCCTGCAAGAGACTCGAAGATGCTGGGTATCAATTCCAGAAGAAGCTCACAGAGGGTCGCATGAAGCACATTGCGTTTGCAAAGGATCCCGATGGATACTGGGTTGAGATCATCCGCCGCCACGAGCAGGATGTGGGGACTGCGACAGATCCAGGCACCTACCGACTGAACCACACCATGCTTCGGGTCAAGTCCGCCGAGACCAGTCTCAAGTTCTACCAGGAGGTTATGGGCATGACCCTTGTCCGCACCATCGAGAACAAGGATGCTGCCTTCAATCTTTACTTCCTGGGTTACCCTGCATCCAACCCCACTGCGCAGGAGGGCGCGAAGAATCCTGTGGCAGAATGGGAGGGGCTACTCGAGCTGACCTGGAACTACGGCACCGAGAAGCAAGAAGGCAAGGTTTACCATGATGGTAATTCGGAGCCTCAAGGGTTCGGTCATATCTGTAAGCCAACTCGTCATCTTTCTGACAACAGTCTGAACTACGCTGACATTGGTGTGCTTGCAGGTGTCTCTGTTGACGATCTCAATGCTGCCTGCGATCGGTTCGAGTCGCTCAATGTGAACTGGAAGAAACGGTTGACAGACGGGCGGATGAGGAATGTGGCTTTCATTCTTGACCCGGATGGCTACTGGATCGAGGTGATCCAGAACGAGGCGCTGAAACGTACCAGCAATTGGTAAATAATAGCCTTGTCAGTATCATTTGTATGTCAAGTCTGTGGGGGGTGTAAATAGTCATTCCAGTATTAGTCAAGCATTCGCGTAATACTGCGTCCATTATTGTGGTCAATCTCCCTGCGCGGTCAAGTGACTCTATCCCCTCTCTAGTTCAGAATCAGCCACACAGTATGTACAGAAGCCATCCGCTTTGCCACCTGCCATTGAACCACTAAAGTCTAAAAGCCTCATGAAGCTGTATTACGCTGCGTCTATCGCGGCCGAGTCTTATAGGCTGGGCTCTCCCTCAAGCCCGGTGGATCCCCTCCCCGCTCCACTGAAAATTGTTGCGATTCTGGACGTTCCCCAGAACGGAGTCGCTCTTAGTCTCTGCCCAACCACATCGAGTCCCCCTCCCAGAAAAGCATGCTCTGCATCCATTCTATCGTGATAATTCTTGATCTGAGCATGTCGCTAGTCCATCAAGCTACTGTGGAGGTCGAATCCATGACTGGGAGTTGAGAGTCCATTCTTTGCTCTTATTGGTGTTCCGACTACCTTTGCGCTGTGACTGAGCGCGCAGTGTTACCACAATGGTGACCATACAGTCTCAGTCCGAGAAACCAAAGAAGGCTCCGCGTAAGCATGTCACTACGGCTTGCGTTCCCTGTAGAGAAAGTAAAATCAGGGTCAGTTTGTCACGTTTCCCGTCTCGATTCTATTTAGTCATACTGACTACTATCCAGTGCGACGGTACTACTCCACATTGTCGCAATTGCGAGAGAAAAGGGAAGGATTGCAGGTACCAGCATGGCGATGACAAGCGGAAGTAGGTCTCGTCTCGCTCTATCTTTCTAGGCATTTTTGGCTGGTTTTCGTGATATGCACCTATGCCCCTTGTGCTTCTCGTCACGGGCACCCCATGATAGAGACGATGGACAAGCGAATTTCTCGATCTTGGCCCAGGCTGTGAAAGGCTCACTCTAGACTTTGTTTGATGAAGAGCCATCAGAAGCTGACCGACTTGACGCCAGAGTTTCGCTTCGTGCCGCTACGGAGCTCTTTTCCGCCAGAATTGACCAGCTTTGTCAGTTCATCTATGACCATGGGCTAGAGCCGCCCCCCATGAAGCCCGAAGATGAGGCGGGCATGAATCGGGTTTTGGACACACTTCAAATTCCCCGCGCAGTTGTGAAGAGGAGCAGTCCTGGGAAGATTGATGCGCCTAATGTGCAGCCCAGACCGGCGGCTCAGCAATCTCCCGAGCGAAACTCGCCTGATGTTCCAACTCTGGAAGGACAACCCGTAAAGGAGAACGCGCTCGGAGCTGCCCACAGACTCATTCCTTCGCCCCCTCAGACCACGGGTCCAGTCAACTTCTTCGGCGTCAATCCGGGCCCGTCGACTCACTATCCTTCCACGCATTGGGGCTTTACGCTTCCGACGGCGGAGAGTTTAGGGTCCATCTATGCTAACTTGGACGGTGCACCCAACTACCAGAACGAGGGCAGTATCGGCAGTCCGGACAGCGTGCCTTTACCTCCAGACTTCACTCAACAGCCTGGTGTCCTGTTGGGCCAAGCCCAGAATGACACTGAGGACGAATCCGAAAGTGGCGAAGAGGACGAAGCTGAGAACGATGTCATTGAACAGTTATCCCATCGGATTGGGACGTTGAAGATCGCCGGGGATGGCCACCTGCGGTTTTACGGAGCCACGTCGAATCTCAACCTGGTTGACGTCTCGGCAACCCAACAACGCCAACGACCTGATGCTCGTACTGTTCGTCATGATGGACAGGACATCCTGAATCATTTGCGGGTCGGACAGCCTGTGGATCAGGCTCTTGAGGATCATCTTGTTGAGCTGTATTTTACCTGGCAGAATCCTAGTACATATGTTGTTGACAAGGAGATGTTTATGACGGCAAGGTCGAGATGGAGGAATGACCTTGACGACACGCCATTTTATTCGGAAGTTCTGACAAATGCCATGTATGTTCTTGCTAATCATTGCGGTGCATCTCACTAACAAGGTCTTAGGTGTGCCGTTGGCAGTGCATTCGAAGCACGATACCACCCTACTTTTATCACGTTTCCCAAGTCGCTTTCCGAGTTTTTCGCGGACCGAGCCAAAGCTCTTTTGGAAATCGAACTAGATTCACCCTGTGTTGCCACAGTGCAGGCGCTAGTCATTCTGAGCTGTCATGAGGGGGCATCGAATCGGGATGCACGCGGTTGGCTCTATAGTGGTACGTTGGAGAACCAAGCAAATGGAGGGACCGAGCTGATTATCTCCAGGGATGTCAATGCGGCTTGCATTTGACCTTGGATTACATCTCGACATGACTCCGTACGTTGAAAAAGGTGACATTAGCGCGTTCGAAGCGGATGTGCGTCGCATAGCGTTCTGGGGAAGCTATACTGCGGACCAGTAAGTTGCAAAGCTTGGTTAACCGCTGGACCACCGGTGTCTCTGACTGATGATGATTCCAGTTTCTGGGGCTTTTACCTAGGACGGCCTTTCCGCACTAATGCCGGAGACATTACTGTGCCCAAGCCCGCGTCGGACCTAGGTGCAGAAAAGGAGAGCATTTGGTATCCATATGGCCTAGAGACGAAATCTGTGGTGCTGCAGCATGGGTTAAGAAATCCAAATGAGCTGATCAGCAGACAATTCGCGGTACTCTGGGAAATCATTCTACCCATCGGTCATATCCTGTAAGTTCTTCCAGCAACGGCTGATCTACTTCAGCCACTGACATTGCTCTAGGTACGGTTGCTCCGATATTTCGCGACATGATCTTCAGAGGCTGTGCTATAACGTTACTGAGGATCTTTTCGCCTGGAAGGAAAACCTGCCTTCCAACTTGAAGATTGACCTTGACGATGAAACTACACCCAGATTGCCCCATCTCTTGATGTTGCAGTACGTCTTTCCCTATCCGCACAGCCGGGCCCTTGAAGCTAATCGTCTACAGCATGCAATACCATCAGATAGTCATCTTCACTCACAGACCATGGGTCTCGAAAAACTACATCCAACCACGCAGTCCGCGCCAGGGCCCCGGCTACCACCATGCGCGACGAATGTGCATCGAGTCATCCACAGCCATCGCGCGAATTCTCCACATATACGAAAAACATTATACCTTCCGCCGGATGAACAACCAAGTTGTCGCGATTATTTTCAGCGCAGCTCTGATGCTTCTCTACGTGACCATCTCAAACACATTTTCATCCAGCAAGAACAGCAGCGAGAATACCAACAGCAACGCGGAGATGGTGGCGTACCTGAACCTCTGCTTCCGCGCTCTAGACGAACTGGGCCAGTCCTTCGAGAACGCCAAACGAACCCGCGACTTTCTCGTAAGCCTGCAACGCAGATGGCAGGCCCACCTGCGCCGGTCCGGGTCCGCCAAAAAGCGCCAAGTCAGCAAGTTACTCTCGCAGCAATCCGCCGGGTCGGGACCCGGACCCTCCACCGAGTCCGATCCCTCGAGGAAAAAGTCCCGAATATCCGCGCCGCGGAACCAGAACCAATCATCCTATCCTTTCCCGCCGCCAGCACCTTCATCGAACTTGCCCTCTACCCACAATCTTTCCCAGTCTCTGTCTCTGTCGCAACGGCCCCCGCAACAGCCCCTGAACCAGTCCCAGTCCCAGAGCTTTGGCGCCTGCCAACCCGGCGACCTAGACTGGATCCGGGATTCGGATTTCCAACTCCTCGCCGAGAACCTTGGAGATGGCCGTCTAGCGCAGATGGGAACTGGCAATCAGTTCGAAGGGGAGAATGTCTTGCCCAGCCTCTCTGATATCGAACCTTGGTGGGACACGCCCAATGGACATTCTTTCGGGGGTTCTTCATTATAGATATTTAACTTTATTTTATACATAATGAATTTATGGAGATACTCTTTGTCCAGTTCCGCTACTGTTTCAGCGCGTGGTCAGAGGATCATGTAGAAACCAGCTCGATATCTCTATATATATCAACATTACAAGTGACACTAGGCAAAGTTGTTTCTATATAAGATGCAGTTGCTGGGAGCATGAACAGGGGGACTGGCGATACTAGTTTCGCGCTTTACCAACTGAAAATAAGGTGACATTTCTTTCCTCACTTAGACTGACCTCTCAATCAGCAACTGTCAGCATCTTAATATTCATCACTCTTTCAAGACTAGCATCGTATACCAATATACAGAGTTATAACCTTCATTAGACAGAAGTATAGCGCTCAATGGCTACTATTCGCATCTGATAAGGCCTCGCCCAGCCATCTCCCCGCGTCTTCCTCGCCAGACACAGGCCATCGTCCGGACGCCACCTGCGCAAGCGTGACTCTGCTCTCCCCGTAACCCTTTTCCCGGCCCCAGAAACATGCCCTGCGCATAACATCAACCATCTCATCCGCCTGTTGCGCCAGGATTGAGCGCCGCTGTGTCTTTCTTGAGTGTCGGGGCCCCTGCCGTTTCTCTTCTCTCCCTGACGCAGGGTCAGGGTCAGACTGTTCGTTCTCGTGGGCGCGGACAAAGAGACGGATCTTTGGGAGGGCAATTTCGAGCCGCTTGATTCCTTGGTCGTAGATGTGGTAGCGAGGGGAGGCGCTCGAACCATAGTCTAGACCGTATGGAGGCCACCGCGAGAGGGCTTTGCGGCGGCGGATGGCGCGGCCGAAGCTGGCATCGGCGGGGTCAATTCTGGACTTTGCGGTTGGGTCTGGATCGGAGGGTAGATCTGACTCCAAGTCGTAGATGTCACCCTGCTGGTGGGTTGCCTGGTCCTGCGTATCGAGATCCCAGACACCAATCGGCTGTCTATCTGGCTGATTGGACACAAGTACAGGAACGGGATAGTCCGGTCCAGTCCGGTATTTCGGAAACGTCCTCGGAACGTCCTTACCCGCCGACCGTAGGAACAGGACAGGCGAGGCAAAAGCATCAAAGTAGCGCTCCGGCTTAGCGAAGAATTTCTCCCGCGCTTCGAGGAGCGGGACGAGGTCCTGCGCAGCGGGGACTCGACCTCCTGCGCCCCGTGTTCTCTTGCTTGCAGTATTTCCCTCGTGAGCTGGTTGCTCTTCCATAAGACAGTGCTCGTCCAGACCGGCCCAATCGCAGATAGGTTCTAGGGCCGCGACGGCATGAACAGATTGCGCTTCGGTGAGGGCTAGCATGAGCGCTAGCGAGCCACCGGTGTGTGTGCCGATGGTACCTAGGCGCGCGGGTTGGAGGTTCTGCTGGACCCAATCGAACCCGGCCAGGGTATCATGGACGGGTGTAGGGTACCGATAGAGGACTTGCTTCTTGACTGCAGAGAGACGCCTTTTTTCTTCGTCTTCGGATAGAGCCGACTCTGATGCGAGGTCTGTCGATGCGGCTACCCCTAGACGGTAATTGATCGTTACGACCGTTGAGGAGGTGACAGACGCCAGAGCTTCTGAGCAAGGATCATCTTGACTTCCACCATATTCTGCCTCTCGCTGAAACAACGGGCCTGGAGGTAGACGGATAATCACATTCGGTTGGCCATGAGTTGGCGCTATGGAGGGATAGGTTACACTGTCATAAATGTTCACGTCAATATAAGCTTTGATGAAGTTTTGTAGAGGTACACTTACTTCAGGGATACATGTCCATTGTTTCCAACTGGAACTTGGAACGACTTATTGAGGTAGGTCCGTTGCGCAAATCGAGAAGTCGAGAAGCAGCGGAGGTTCGCTCGAACGTATGAACCGGATGACAGATGAAAATAGGAGAATTTGACTGCTATGAACCTGTCTAGGAGGTCAATTGCAAGCCGGCGCATCGCGCCATGTTGTCTGCGAGGACAAGAGAGATGCGGATGGGTGGGAAATAGCGAGTGTGTCCATCGTGACATGTGAGAAGTCTTGGCAAGTTTATCCTATGTCAGATAAGGCATTCATTTGTATTACCTCAACAGGTTTGCATTTTCAGGCTTCGTTATATACATTAGCTAGAGAGTTTGGCATTATCAATCACTTGCTATACATTATCAATGGTACGCTTGTACATAAACAAATGAGGCCGGATATTGAGGGCTACACAATCTAATACCATATGATACACTGAAAGCAGGAACACCGCAACTTTTGTATCCAGTTCTTCAATATCAATGATTGTTGAGCATTGGACCGAACTTGCCCTTCGCCAGAGTGGCGCTAGCGGCCGGATCGTCCATGTCAAGTGCTGCTTCGACGTCGTCCTCCGGCACAGGGCGAACGACCCCTAGAGACAGGTGCTGGTCTTTCGAATAAACCCGCAATCCCACCACGCAGACTGCATTCCATGGATCGGCAATGGCTCCAGGACAGCAAATAGGCGCGGCAGGCGGGGCCTTTGTCTCCTCAGACTCCTCAGGGGGCATGTCGAGATCCGAGTCAAACTCAAATCCTTCCAGCAGCTCTTGTTCGCTGTAGTATACTGAATGAGACATGGAGATAGTAGTGTCCAGACTCGAGCGGAGGGTCTCTCTACTTCGTTGCCTCACATGATTCGAATGGTGGTCCTCTGGGAGGTTGATCGTGGGAACGCTGCTGTTCTGTACCGGCTGCCTATCAAAACCATTGGTAGCAGCGCCTGTCAAGTCTGCGGGAGATTGCACAGGACCGTCGGGAAAGATCTGCTCGGTGGCCCGCTTGTCAGGCTGCTTTTGGCTGAGGGTGCTATTGCTCATTGCAACACGTCTCTCTGCGGCCCGCTCTTTCCGTGCAGCCATCTTGCGTCCTCGGATCCACTCCTTTTGAAGCTTCCTCTTGGTTTCTTGACGCTGCTTTCGTCTCTCAAGTTTCCTGCGACGCAGCTCACGTTCTTCGCGTGCGTGCTTCTCCTGCTCGGTCTCTACGACCAGACCCTTGGCGTGCGCGAGATCATACGAGAGACCAATTTGAACGAGCTTCTCCCGCTTGACCGGCGCCAGGCGGCTGACGACCTCTTCTGCGGACTCCACGCCGTCTTTTCTGTAGGCAGTGACTTTCACGAGCACATGATATCGACCAGGGTCGAGATTGACCTCGGCGCTAACTGACCGGTTGATGAGGTAGCTGCTATGGCTGCGGACGATGTATTCTTCTTCCCCCTCCTTCTGCACTCTGAATTTCAGGACAAAGTCATATTCCCCGTCCAGGCCCCGGAAATACCGCGTATCTAGCTGTTCACTGTCAGCAGGTTGCAGCTTCTCTGGATGGAAAGAGAGTCACCTGAGAGAGGACGATGACGACAGGCCCGGCGGTTGTCACATCCAGCCTGAACTTCGTGCTGTGATAGTCCGCTGACCATGGCACATTGAGAGTGGTCCATTGCTGGGTGACTGTCCACTCAGGCCCGAAGAGACGGGTGCGATCAAGATGTTGATACTTTTTGAGGAGATCCTCGTAGGAAATCCAAAAGAACTATCGCCCTTATCAGCTGACAGCGCCAACGACCCAGGATCAGAGAAGTACGTACACCATCATTTCCGAACTTGTGATCCAATTTCTGCATCCACTCTGGTGTCCATTGCTCTGATCCGTCACTCCATGCACCGTTCCATTCTTTCTTACCCCACGGGTTCCTATCCGGGTCAGCATATGCGCACGGGTGCTGGGAAATGAACCCACCTCAATCGCAGCAGGCGACGACCGTCGACCTCCCTGGCATCCATGATCGAGTATGAATGATTCTCGGAAATTCCCCCTCTATCTCTTGGAGGCCCTTGGTATTTAGGATCTAGCCAGTTGGAAAACAGTCCGGTACCGCAGCCGAACAAAAATTCATCATTGACTTTCATAAGCTCTTCCTTCCAGAATCGATCCTTGTCCAGGATGTTGCTGGTCAGGATATCCGACGTGACACCTCCTGTCAGGTCCTCGAGAGCCTCCCTAAAGCATGTCAGATAGGGCATCAAATTGTTAGCGCGGTGTATCTCACCCTACGAACCCGCCCTCGATTGCGGAAAAATCACCATGTGCCTTGGCATAAGCTTTTTCCAGTAAAGGCAGCCATGTCTCGTTTGGATCCACACACTGGGCAAAGTAGAGTGCCCGTGAGCCTGTCTGCCAGACTTTGCGATACTCCTCTTCGGTGTCACTGCGGTTGATGTCGTCCCAAATGGGTCTCTCATCAACGGACTCATCGTAGTCGGCTGCACGAAGATACAGCTTGTCGTCCACAATGCACTTTTGCCATTCCCCGTCTGTCGAATCGTGTCAGAGTTTGCTCACTGCTCGAATGATGGTGTGGCTACCCACCTCTGTAGAAGATGAAGCCGTAAACTCCGACGTTTTCATCCCGTGCAACACAGATCTTCTCTATCAAACCATGCTTGTTGCCCATGGTGCAGAGAGCAGCCATAAACCAACAATCGCCATCGCGGCCTTGGCGCACATCCGACGCAGTTGGTCCATTGACGAAGAATTGCGGTTTTTCGAAGATTTCCTGACCAAAAGATTAGCATCATTCGTCTGCAATTAACCGAACCGCTGATTTGGGAAACACACAGTGACTCTTTTCACGCCTTTCGGGCGCATTTCATGGTTCTTCTGATCGAGCGAATCCAAGCAATCCCTCCGTCCAGATTTGAGGTCAACCTCAATATCAAAGTGTGGATCGGTATATCTCTGATTCACCCGTCTGCACTCTTTCACGATGCGCTCGACAGCCCGTTCGCACTCTTGTTTGGCTTGCTCGTAGGACTTCCCCGCATTCTGACCTTTGATCGTGCCCCTCCGTATGCTCGCCGCTTTGGAGCGAGCATACGGATTGTCAGGCAGAACAGTGTAGACCTTACCGGGGTACTTGGTACTGAACTGATTCCAAAATTCCTTCATGATCTCCTGGGGGTTCTGCTGCACTCTTCTCACTCGGCTATCCGAGCGCGTGGAGAGGGGTGGAGTGTAATCCATGTCGATATAGTCTTCACCAATCTCCATGATGCTTGAATCGGCTTTGAAGACCCAGATGATTCGCCAGATTCGTCAGTGACAGAGGATGAGGACTCTTTTTACAGTAACGTCTCGAGAAGAGCAAAATACGACCCTGATAAGGATTTAAAGAATCCGGCTGTAAGCAGTCTAGTAGTGCTCAGCCGTGCTGATCCGCTACACAGTCACCACACATCAAAAAGCCAAAGCAGTATGTCCTGTGAACCGTTACACCCATCTCGTGTCCAGCCTGAGGCTGAGCCAAATCGGCGAACCATAACGGAGTCAACGGGTTGGCCCCATGCGTCAACGACACAGGATAAGGAAAAGGGGCCAATCAACGAGTAAAAAAGGTCGAGATGCATAGCGGGGATTGCAAGAAACGCAGCCCTGGGGCCCATGTCAGCATTCAGGCCATTCTGGATTCGCGCGTTTCACGCCATTCACACATGGCTGCCAAGTCGTAGGACGCTTATGCAGAGTCGAATGCGCTTGGGCTGAGTCGGGCCAATCATTGAAAAGCGTGAGATGAACCCAAATCCATACCCAGGCGTTTTGTCTGTTGGTGGCCCGGCCCCTGAGCTGAAAACATGCTTACAGCAGCTGAACCAACAGGAAATATCCCTTAGAATAGTTATTCCTAGCAACGATTGCAGACTTGTAATAACATATTTGGCATATCCATCAGATTGTGAACAGGGGATGTTGTTTCACAGCATTCAGTCAGCATCCGGAAGAAGTAAATACGGTGTGTGTGCCTGAGGCTGTGCCACTCCAGTGTCGTACAGAAACCTGGAAACTGGCAAGGCTGATGGAGGTTAGTGATTCCAGTTAAGACGCCCTACGGCCCTGTTTCCTGGATCGGGAATCAAAATGGGCTAGCTTCTCTGTATTCTGTTGCATTCTTAGCTTCTTTCTGTAGACTTCTGCATAATCTTGACCATGTCGGCTCCTGTCATCTTGGTAAGCACTACCAGTTACGGGGAGCCAGCTGTGCAATGGCTGGCCCGCGTCCTCAGAATCAATTCCGTACGATAAACGTAGAATTAGGAGATACACAATATTGAAACAGGTATATGGTATGTACGCTTTTGCGAAACGGAAAAATGGTCCATGAAATATCCAGTAACCTAACCTCTTTCCTGCCTTATCACACCACACTAACGCCGTAGAACAATAATTGCAGCCAATAAAAGAAAAAAGATAAGATGAAATAAAAGAAGAGGCAGCGCCCGACACATTGGTAACGAGTCACAGGCCAGCAGGGCGAGTAAGTCAGCGAGGTCAGCTGCGTTGCCAACGGCTCCCAGTGGATTCGGCCTCTGTCAGCCTCTCATGCATACATACAATACAGACGAACGAGTGAAAATCGTGACAAGTCTTCAGTTAGTGATATCCATTTCTCCGACCGCGGCCAGAGTAGTAAGCGGTACCGTGCGCAAAATATGGGTGCATGCAGGCCTGTTTGGCGGAGATTCGACGGGCGGGATCGTACTCTAGTAGAGCCTCCAAAAGGTCAAGACCATCCTCCTCCAGGCCAGGGACCAGTGTATGGGGATCTTGGCGCTTCCACTTGGGGAATGTTGGTTTGTAGTCAGGGAACGAGGTGACGCCAGGCCAGATGTTTTCATCAGGAGTACCAAGGAGTCTGTGGTGCGAGACTTGAATCAATAAATGACCCTCAATAACCATTTGCCACAATGGATAACATACCTGAAGATCTTGAAAATCTCGTCAATCTCGGAATCGCCAGGGAACAGCGGCTTGCGTGTGCACATTTCGGCGAAAATAGCACCACACGACCACATATCGACGCCAGTAGAGTATTGACGACCACCGAGCAGGATTTCGGGAGATCGGTACCAGAGTGTCACAACCTGGAGCACCATATAAGTATTCTACGTTTATTGACAGTCAATATGGTCCAATGGTCTCACCTCGTGTGTGTAGGTTCTCAGAGGGACACCGAATGCTCTTGCCAGGCCAAAGTCGGCCAATTTCAGATTGCCATCACGGTCAATGAGCAGATTCTGAGGCTTGAGATCACGATGCAGAATACGATGGCTGTGGCAGTAACGAATTCCTTCCACCAATTGGGCCATGAACTTCTTGACCATAGCATCTCCGAGTCCCATGTTCTTGCTCAATGCAGAACCTTCGGGCAACGCCTTTCCACGTCCACCCTCGCTAACAGGAAGAGCCTCCATATACTTCTTGAGATCGAGATCAAGAAATTCAAAAACAAGATAGAGTTTGTGGCCATCGGCATGGACAATGTTCAGAAGTCGTACAATATTCGGATCGCTCATCTCCTTGAGAAGGGAGATCTCGCGAATGGCAGTGCTCGGAACTCCTTCATCTTCTGCTTCAAGTCGGATCTTCTTCAGGGCAACAATACGGTTGGGATGGGTGAGTTCACGGGCCTTATAGACGACACCGTAGGTTCCTATCCATGGGAATAACGGGTCAGCTTGATTATTCCCTGATGATGATTGGAGGAAATGGACTAGAAGTCACATAGTAAACATGCAGAACCTAGGTCATAGTACATACCCTCTCCAATTTTCTCAATTTTCTGGTAATTCTCCATGGTGACAGTCTCCTTGCCAAGGATTCTCGATAATCAACTTTTGCTCGTAGGATGGGTGGAATCACGAGCTAATTGCCGGGCAAGACTACTGGCAAGTGGGGTACAACAGTGTTAAATGCACAGTGTCCACTAGGTCGCTCGGACAAGGAGGATTAAGATGGGGTTTCAATTGATGTTAATAGCTGCGAGGAGGGGATAGGGATGAATGGTAACTCCAAGCTAGGGGGAGAGCTGGGCGGTTCCGCGTCTGACACCACACAGATTCATCCAAGGGCCAAGGTCAAGATTGACCGAAATCGATCAATTGACGTGCGTCTGAAGGGCTGTCGATCGGATCGTCGAGTCGAGTAATCTTAAATCGAACGAGGCTTGTTGTTATTTTCGTCCCTGCTTTTGATGGTGGGGAGACAAAGGCGGTCAGACCACAAATAATGAATGGATGTACACAAACAAAAACGCGACAAAGGCGGTGAGCGCGTTCCGAGATGGTTCTTTTTTTCTTCGTTTCTCTCTGTCTCTTGGATTTGAGCAGCAACGCTAACCTGATGATGGGGCATACCAGAGCTTAGACAATCAATCATCCAATCTGCGGACTGACTGCTTGATTATCTTGGGATGAAAATACTTCTAAAGGGAAAAGTATCGCGAGATAGCCTTCATCATTTTGGCGATCACTGAATTGACTCGGCTTCTATACTTGTAAAGCTTATCCTCGCAGTTTGCACAATACCATGCCTCATATCAAAGAGCTCAATGCTCATGAACGACCCCCTGAGGCTATCCGACAACGCTACAAGTCTCTTCAAAAGGCCACGCTTTCTGAGATCAACACCGATGGGACATTAATTGACCTAAAGGCTCTGGATGCCCATGATCTTCCAGACAATATATCTGTGTCGCATTGGGTATCGAGTTATGACCTTCGCCCGATTTTCCACCAGTTTGCCGGAGAACATGAGGACTCTCTTCCTGAAACTATACCTGTCTATACACACAAATCCGTCTCTGGTTAGCATACCACAGCCCTGGTCTCCTTGAAAGCGAGCGCAAACCAAGAAGCAGAGCAATCGACTCCTAACATGTGGTAGGTTTGCAAATGGTCCCTTCCATATTCCCTCCTGCCGTTCAAGTAGAGTTACTCTCTCGATTGTTCCATCGAGACCTGTCAAATCCACAGCATCGGACCAATCTTCACCTGCATTACCAGGTCACCTACCCTGGTCAAGCTGCAAGTCAACCCGCAAGTCAACCCAACACCGCCGTGTCCCCACCTGAAGATGGCTCCACAGTGCCACAGATTGTATCTTTCTTTGAAGACGATCCGTCTAGAGTCTTATTTCCCATAGACCCGCAGGTCCATAAACCGGTTACCGTTCAGCAAATGCTCACCAAGAAGCTGCGCTGGGTGACCCTTGGTGGTCAGTATGATTGGACTGCTAAAGAATATCCTTCGGGACCCCCGCCTGCATTTCCTGCTGATATTGCCAATCTGCTGCACGCAGCCTTTCCTCAAACAAAAGCCGAGGCGGCCATATTGAATGTGTATTCCCCTGGCGACACTCTGAGCCCTCATCGGGATGTCAGTGAGGAGTGCGATGTGGGCTTGATCAGCATCAGTTTCGGCTGCGATGGCCTCTTCCTGATCAGCCACGACGATGGGACTGATTGTGAGATCATCCGTCTTCGCTCGGGGGATGCTGTGTACATGGATGGCACCTCTCGCTTTGCATGGCACGCAGTACCGAAAATTGTCCCTGGCACTTGCCCGGATTGGTTGGCTGATTGGCCATGGAGTACCTCCCCCACGACTGATAAGACACCATTTGGTAAGTGGAAGGGCTGGATGGCCGGCAAGCGAGTAAATCTCAACGTCCGACAAATGTCTGCGACTGAGTCTCATGGTTGACCGTCTGAGGTCTCAAATTCTCTGATATCCCTCTCGGGTTATCTCTATAGATGTATGCCAGTCAGAGACGAGCGTCATGTGCTCCATGAGGGCAAGGCTGGTCATCTGCCGCCAATGGATAGATCATCCGTCAGCCAGGAGAATCTACCTACCAGTTTGACATATTACAGGCTACCATGTATCAACATCATCATCTCTTCCGGCTTGGCCCAAATGATGAAGAGTTTCTGGGGCGCCCTGTTATTGAAATCATGGGATTGGATATATATTACGCCTTCCAAGCTTACAAAGCGAAGTGAGAACTGGTATAGAATCCAGTAACTGGGGCATTAAGTGTAGCCGGCCTCTACGAGATGGGCCGTGCAGACGCTCGAGACAATGAAAGAATAGATTGAACCACTGCTAGTATGCTGAGGATAAAGACTTCGTTCTTTCAACAGTATCTTCTTGAAATTCGACAATCCGGTTGTTCGGATACCCATTGCGGGAAAGGACAGAGATTCGTCAGGACTACTAGGCTACTACCACAATTACTGAGTTTTCTCAAGCCATAACATATCCCGTACGACTCCAACTACTCCATAGATTCACATCCGATGGTTCTCCAACTGTATATCCATGTTGGACAACAGAATACGAGTTGAATCTCAGACGTTACTGGATAGATAACACTGCCCCGCATTCCCCGCTGCGACTGACAATCATGCGAGATTCCGCATAATCATCGACGGCCTCGGTTATGTTCATGGTATCTCAAACCAGGGCACCTCTCGACCTGCCTAATCGGAAAAGATACGGAGTTCCTGATGCCTAAGACAAGGAAAATGACCCCATTCTCCCCCTGCCTGCCCTCGATTTAAGGTGTACGTTTGCTACCGGACGAGCTATCCCTTGTGCTACGTCCCTCAATTATATCCCATAATTTCTAATAAACCAAGCTGTTAAGTCACAATGACTGCGGACTGGAGGTCCTTGGCTGATGCCAAACGCCAGTCCATCCTCGATGCAATTCCCACCAAGTGGAGGATTCAGACTCCGGTCCCATCACCATCCGAACTACGGGATGTTACTGGTTATATTGAGCAGTTCTTGAGTCCTCGGGAGCTAGAGATTACCGGAAACGATGCCGTGGACATTGCGACGCAGACGACGTCTGGTAACTGGACTGCTGTTGAGGTAACGGAGGCATTTTGCCATAGGGCTGCTCTGGCACACCAGCTTGTACGTCTGCTAGCAACTATAATGTATGCCATTTATTGACAGTGTCCAGGTGAACTGTCTGCATGAAGTATTCTTCGAGGCAGCTATTGAAGACGCCAAAAGGCTTGATGCTTATTTCGCTGAGCATAAGAAGCCTGTTGGGCCTCTTCACGGTCTTCCTGTCAGTCTGAAGGACCAGTTTCATGTGCGAGGCGTGGAGACGACGATGGGATATGTCGGCTGGATCGGTACGTTCCAGGGCAAAAAGGAAGATCCAAGAAAAGGTGTGTTTGAAAGCGAGCTTGTCAGGGAGCTTCGCAACCTCGGAGCAGTGCTGTACTGCAAGACAAGTGTGCCTGCGACTCTGATGGCAGGAGAAACGGTCAACCACATCATCAAGTATACAACAAACCCGCAGAACCGACTTCTCTCTTGTGGAGGAAGCTCTGGCGGGGAAGGCGCGCTTATCGCCCTGAGGGGGTCTCCAGGAGGGTTTGGCACTGATATTGGTGGTAGCGTCCGTATACCGGCTGCATTTAACGGCCTCTACGGAATACGTCCCTCGTCCGGCAGGGTACCTTACGAGGGTGCTGCAAACTCCATGGACGGTCAGAATACCATCCTATCCGTTATTGGCCCGCTTGCAACAACAGCGCGCTCTCTGAGAATGCTTTTCAAGGCTGTACTCAGCCAAGAGCCTTGGTTCCATGATCCGCTGGTGCTCGAGGTACCCTGGCGCGAAGATATTGAACGAGAGGTCGGGGCTCTGGTTAAGCAGTCAGCAGCCGATCCCTCCAAGCTTGCTTTTGCTTTTATGCACGACGATGGGATAACCAAGCCTCACCCTCCTATTGCACGGGCTATGAAGACCGTCGAGGAGACGCTGAAAAAGCTCGGACATAGGGTACGAGAACTATAGCAATGCGTATGGCCTATGTCAAGCTGACAAAGTTGGATATCAGGTCATTGAATGGGAACCTCCATCTCACAGTATCGCACAAGACTTGGCCGTATGTTTCGTCCCTTGTCCACTTTCCTTGGGCTCCAAGTATACTGACTCCGACAGGGTCAAGCTTTCACCTCCGACGGTGGAGCAGATGTCGAGTATCACTTTGGACTATCTGGAGAAGAACCTGCTCCACAGATCATAGTCGACACTAGACTCACTCACAAGACAGCCCTGGAAGTTGCAGCGTTGAACGTCAAGAAGCGGGAATACCAAAAGCTCTATATGGAATACTGGAATAGTACTGCTGAGCTGACAGGTACTGGACGGCCGGTGGACGGACTCATCTGCCCATGTGCACCACATGCGGCCGTGATTCCTCAGAAATATCGTCATGTTGGTTATTCATCATTCGTGAATCTGCTAGACTACACCAGCGTCGTGTTCCCCGTGACTCGTGCAGACAAAACAATTGACGTGTCTCGACCACGAAATGACTTCCTGAGCGAGGTGGACAGGCTAGTTTATGAAGATTGTGAGCTAGCTCGTCTTATTGATCACTGGATTCACCCTTTTAAAACGACTTGCTAACCTTTCTCAGATGATGCCGACACCTACCACGGGGCGCCGGCCGGGCTTCAGATCGTCGGACGACGATTCCAGGAGGAGAAAATGCTGACATTAGCTGAATATATCGGTGAGAAGGTCAAAGAGGCATCACAATAGGTCTAGTTTCTAGGTTCTACTTGATTGATGTGCGGTCAGCTGGTTATTATTTATATTCGACGCGGAGGTAGCATCATAAATCGCAACCTTGAAATCATGTATCCCATTCGCTCTTGAGTCATTGTAGCAGCTATCCGGAAAGGCATTGTTAAATAGGAGATATCCTCATGTTCTATATCTTAACCTCGGAGCAAAAGACGCAGACTCGAGTTCCCCACCGTAAAGCTTGGCACTTGTCGATCGTCACGTCCACATTCTCGTTCTTCTTCCTCTTCTTCCTTGCTTCTTCTTTGTTTTTTCTCGTCCTCGTTCCAGCTCAGCCATCTTTTCTTTTTTCCCATTACTTGCAGCTTTATCACGTCCCTCACGTCCAATCTCGGGGTCCACTCTTCATTGTTCCAGCTTTGACGCACAAGCGCGGGCCTTTTTCTTTCATGCATTGAGCTGCAGAGCTTCCTCGGATGAGAGCTGGTCAACGCGTTTTTGGTATCACCGCGACTTCACGTTCGCTAACAACTTGAATTTTTTTTTACGCTCTTGTGAAACAATGGCGGAAACCACACCCTCTCGTCCGAACGACACTCCAGAAAACTCTCCTGGTGGAGGCGACGACAACCAGTCCCAATCGGCAGGCCATTCCAAGAATCCGGCTTCCGTGAAGGATCGAAAATGCCAGTACTGTCATCAGGCCTTCACATCGTCCTCCCTCGGCCGACACCTTGATCAATTTCTCTTCAAGAAAAAGCCCGACGGAATCCACGATGTTGAAGAGATTCGGCGCATTCGAAGCGGTATCACCAGACGGCAGGCCCGCACATCCTCCGGCAAACGAGATACTCCTGAACGGGCCATGGGCAAGGGCCCGTCGGAGCACTTTGCAGGCGGAGAACACGGCGCGAAGCCGCGCGAGGGCGCGATCAGAATGATGTTTAACACCCCTACGTGGCATGCGACCGGGGTCATCAATGATATTCCCAATCCGGGTCAGACACCGGAGGGGTCGCGGTTCGCGGCGTCGCAGCCTCGATCAGGGGCGGTGCATCTTCCGGACTATGCGAGTAGGGGGGCTAGCGCCAAGGATCCGGATACAATGAGGGCGTTGGAGCTGGCTCTGCGAGAGGTTCTGGATAATATCAAAGCTGCAACGTGCGTGCCCGTCACCACTCGGTCCCCTGCGACTGAAGAAAGTGCCAGAAAATTGAATAAGACATTACTAACAATAATGCGCACAGTAGTTCTCAGATGCGACCTCGGCTTTCGCCGTTCGATTTCGATATTCAGTCGGAGACATTCCCCTCGCTCTGCCTTCAGCTGCTGCCCCCACCTCCCAGTCTCTTCTCTACCAATCCGTTCCCGTCGCCATCATCTTTCCCATTGAAACCTCCTGGGGTAGAACATCTTGATATTGTACGACAGGCAATTCGAGCGAAGATCGACCAGTGGCAATCCGATCACCTGTCCGCGCACTCCGCGAACGACTCTCCCGGTCGGCCGGGACTCGGCCTGGACGCTAACATGATCAACCGCAGCGCACAGCAGCATGAAGACATGAGCCTGAGGCATCTCGAGCTGGCATTCAAACACTGGGCCTCGCTGCCACCGGAGACCCGAGTAGAGGCATGGCATCTTGAAATTACACGCGCGTTCGCCCGTGAGGTGGAGAAACGGAAAATATTGGACGAACAGCTCGCTCGCGTCCAGCAGGAAGCCAACCAGCTACGCGCGCAGGTCGAGAAGCTGGGTTCTTGCCAATGGCCCCGAGAATTCGCGCTCTTCCCGCCAGACACCCTACCGCTCCCACCCGCTATTGCGCGGGAGCTAGATGCCAAAGAAAGCCAGATTAGCCCCGGCTCGCCTCGGTGGGACTACGACAGCGTCGTGGCCAAGTGGAAGCGGGTTGTGATGCACGACAAGACCATGGGCCGCGTCGGCGTCGGGTACGGCAATCCTCCGCTCGATGATCGCAGCAGTACGGACACCAAACCCCGCGCGACGGATGAGCTCCCTGCCTCTGCGCCTCCGTCTGCACACGCCAGGTCGCGAGCTCTGCAGCCCGCTCCTGGCCCCTCCCACGCCTCCAGCCCGGATCAATCGTCCTCGCATACCGGGGGCGCCTCGGCCCCATCCAGCCAGCACACCTCGCCTTTTCTCCGGAGTCCGCAAGCAGGTCCGCAAGCCAAGCGTCCTCGATTAATGAATGGCGCAGATGGTAGCCACACCTCGGCTACAAATCCGTCGGCCTCAGCGCCGAATACGTGGAATCCGCACAGTCACCAGTCTCTCACCGTTTCGAACTTGGCTAGTCAATCTGGGCCGCCGCCGCCTAGTTCTGGGCCGTAGTGATGAAGGCATCAGGAGGTATTTTGCAACGGCGAATGCATGTTGGACGCTCCTATCTAACTGTACAAATACTGGAATGACATATACATCTTCAGTTCTCGCAAGGAAGTCGTCTATTATTGGATAGCTAGATCATAATACATGAGACCGAACAGAAGGTTACGGCTCTGGTAGTACTATCACTGTACACCCTTCTTCGCCTTCCGCGCACTAATCAACCGCTTCAAATCACCCACGCCATGAAGATAAAGCCAGGAGAAGAAGTAGACTGCCGCGAAATTGAACATGGTGAAAGCCCAGAAAATACCCTGCTTTTGTCAGCGCGTCATTCGCGTGCAAAAAATAGGGAGAGACACTTACGTAGTTGCGCCACTTGTGCGAGTAGAAGACGTTGAAACCCGCCGCCTGGAATAAGAACATCAGTCAATACCAAAGACATAGACATGGATGAGGAGGGGAGAACGTACAAATGCATCCCCGACGGAATACTGGCAATACGAGCATAGGTCGCCCGCAGCGTCCTGGACGTACCCGCCAGCCTGTTTCGCGAAGGCGCCGGCGTAGCTCTGGCACGTCTCGCCTGGTGGGGGCGAGAACTGGGTCATCTCCTTGCTGACACAGCGGACGGGGATGTTATGGGTGAGGACGCCGAGGAAGCCCTCGATCAGGTAGTGGAATGGGGTGAGCCAGTACATCCAGGACTGCCAGAAGTGGGGGAGGGCGGCGTAGGGGACGACGACGCCGCAGAAGGCGACGATGAAGGTGAAGAAGCAGGGGACGAGGAGGGAGGCGAAGAGCTCGTTGGGGGAGAAGGCGGCGATGAACTGGCCGAAGCTGACGTAGTAGAGCTCGAAGACCATGAGCAGCATCCAGGTGTAGCCGGAGCTGAAGGAGTCGCGGGGAAACCAAACGCCCCAGTACCTGGTTGTGTCGGATTTGTGAGAAATGATTAGAACTGGGTTGAATGGGGTGAGCTTACCAGCAGTTGAAGTAGATGGATCCTGCGACGATGGAGTAGGGGAGCTCCGGGAGGATGGCGCTGGTGACCATCGCGGTCCATGAATAGATCTTCGAGTTGGCCTCGCGCGATTCGTAGAGGTTCCGGAAGTGTAGGAATCTGGGCTGAAGCTGCTGGATCAGGGGCGGCGAGATGGTGAGAGTCATGAAGATCGAGAAGAGCCGCGATTGCATGTCGATGTAGCTATTTCCCAGATGCCAGAAGGTAAACGTGTTGAAGAGCCCCGTGAAGATATGAAGAAGGAATTTGCCCTTTTGGCTGTTAGCATCAACTCTCCATGACGAAACGCACACTTACGAGAGTATACTCTGGAGATCTCCAGTAGGCGACGAACGCCCGCTTGGTGACAGTTACTATTTGCGTCCAGATTGGCATTGCGTATTCCCGGTCGTCGTCTTTATTCTGTCTGATTTCGCGAGTGCGGCGGGAGTCGATGATTTTTTCAATCTCTTCAGCCAGCTGTTTGCATTGAGGAGACTGGGCCCAGACGTCTCCCCAGTCCTTCCCCTTATACTCCGGATTGCCGGCGCCGATGACCTCGAGCATATACTGGGAGCTATGTCAGTTTAATCTTAGGCGGACAAGGTGTAAGACGTACTTCGGCAGGATTTGCATGAGGTGGACACTTCTTAGCACCGTTCGACTCGAAATACTCGATGAGATTCTTCGAGTCCTGTCCCAGTTCTCCGTTGTACACAACTTTACCTCCACTTTGCAACAGTAGGAGGTCATCAAACTGTTCGAATAGAACCGCAGACGGCTGGTGAATCGTGCAAAGAATTGCTTGCCCAGCATCCGCAAGCCGCCGAAGGAACCGCACAATGTTGAACGCGGCAAGGGAATCAAGGCCCGAGGTCGGTTCGTCCAGAAAACAGCTGTCCCTGCATCTAGCCCCATTGTAGGCTCATCCAGTTGCGCAAGATCGCCGCAACGGGATGAGCCGACGATGGGGGCAGACGCAACCTTAGTCAGTATTCGCCTGAGGCCACGGTGATTGGGCTTTTGAATACTCACAGAAGTTCAGGCTTGCTTGCCAGCTCCACTGCAATAGTGAGTCGCTTGCGTTGTTCGGGGTTCAGGCCCGTCCCTCCGGAGCCCACAGCTGCACTGGCAATTGGGCGCATCTCAAGTAGGTCAATGATCTTCTCACAGTAGTCGTACTTCTCCTCAATAGGCACCTCTTTAGGCTGCCGCAGAAGCGCAGAGAAGCGGAGAGACTCCCTAACAGTTGCGGTGGGCTCATGGATATCCATCTGTTCAGCAAAACCAGTTGCTCTCTGGAAACTCTTAGGAAGTGGCCTACAGTTGTAAGTGACGTCCAGGATGCGAACCGTGGGAGTAAGACCTACTTTCCATCTACCAAAAAGGTACCAGTAACGACGCCAAAATTGACCCGCTGTGCCAGAGCATTCAGTAGAGTAGTTTTCCTGTAATGGCCTGTGTCAGCTACTTTGGTTTCAATGTTGTGATAGGCATGACTGACCCTGCTCCGGAAGCTCCCATCAAGGCAGTAAGGCGGCCGGGCTTAACATATCCGTGTACGTCCTGCAGAAGCTTCCTTTGCCCGCCCTCATAAGGGATGGTGTAGTGGACATCTTGCCAAGTGAAGATAGACGTGCTTCGAGCGATATCTTTGACTTCACTCCCAGACTCTCCCGATTGGGTCTTCTCGGGATCAGCATTGGCAGCATTCTCTTTCTGTCCTGATTCCACATCCTCAGGGAGTTCTTTGTTTTTCACTGCTTCCTCAACATACTTTGGCGCTTCGCTCCTCTTAAAAATTGTAACTGAGCTGCCGCCTTTGTTGGGTTGCTGCAACTCCGTACCCAACATCGTCAAGACGACGAAGAAAACGAACCACGCGACGATGATGCCAAAGTTCCGCCATAGATGAGACCGAGTGTATGTGAAAGCAGTCTTGATGTAACTCGAGCCTTGGACAAGTAGCTGGTCCGGACTGCTTCCCTGGACCGCGCAGCTTTGGTGACCGGGCTGCGCATTGGGGCCGTCAGGTACAACATTCGGGCTTACACACTGAATGTCGAGGTTGTAGAATTCATTGGACATGACAGCTTCAAACGCATATTGGACGGGGTTTATCCAGATCAGCCACTTCAACCACGGATGCATCTTCCACGGCGGGATCAGATAACCTGAGTGACGTGAGAAAGGGTGTCATTCCGAGAGAATTTCATCCTACCTGTATAGACGACCAATGCTTGTATGGCAACTCCGGTGAGCCGAGTAGCTGCTCAATTAGCAAAAGAAGGTTTCGTCAATGAAAAGCACACTTGGCACATACCGACGTCAAGAGAAGCAGACACTGCCCCGAGAGCTCGAAAAAAAGAATACATTGTCATTGTGAGAATGAAGATGAACAGGAACTGGATAAAGAATTGGGACGGCGTCCGAGAGAGATTTGCCATACTTGGACAAACAGTTAGCGTCAAAGTGCATGACTAGAAGCCTGACAGGGTGCATACAAATATACAATCAACTCGAAAAGAGTGACCTGGATGAAGACCAATGGAACGTCAACAACCACCTGGGCTAGAGCATAGGCGGATGGGCGGTAAAAGGAGCTGAAGGAGTCAGTCTTGTACTTTGTTCTGCAGGAGATAGTCATACAAGCTTTTGTGCTTCAGCATGATCGGTCGACTTTCGAAAGATGCTGTAAGTTCAGCCATCGCGAGTAGGGCATTGAAGAGGAGAATAAAGAACATGACGCCCCCTCGGGTGAATAAACCACGGCTAGGACATAGATCAGCTTGAAATCATCCTTCAGTGGACATATCGACGAACCTTGTGGGCGGAAGGTTGTAGAATAAACTTCCTATGATTAAAGCTTGGAAGGTCAAGAGGCACCATTTTCCCACCAAAGTCTGTTTGTCGCCGTACATAATCAGAAATTGTCGACGGGTTAGAACGATGACCTGATCATAGAAGGGAATGGTGTAGTTCTTCTTGGGCATTTCCTGCCTAGCCTTCTCACGTTCATGCTCCTGCGTCTCCCACTCTTTCTCGAACTGGTCAATCTCCTGCAGGGCAGCCTTGTACGTATCGCTCTTGCGGTACACTCTCTGAAAGTCCTCACCAGATCTCGGGACTCGATCCTCCCATCCACTTTTGACACGCCGCGCATGTGGATCACTGACCGATGTCAAAAAGTCCGGGGTGGTCCACCGTGGGGGACATTCAAACCCTAGGCGTTCAAAATATGCCTTTGCATCTTGGGCGCTTCCATAGTATGCGCACTTGCCCTCTTCGATCAACATGACCTTGTCAAATAGGTTATAAAGATTCTCAGAGGCTTGGTAAAGCGCTACAATCGTGGATACATTCGCCATGTCAGTAAGAGTCCTCAGACTTTGTACATATTCCAGAGCTGTACTGGCGTCGAGGCCTTTGGTCGAATTGTCCCAACATTGTGTACTGGCTTTGGTAATCATGGCCTCGGCGATAGACACACGTTTTTTCTCTCCTCCTGAGATACCACGGATGAGCTCGTTGCCGACTTTTGTGCCGAGCGCATGTTCAATCCAGAACAATTTGGCAATGGCAGAGAGAAATGTGTTTTGATAATCCTTTCGACTTTCCCCTGGAATGCGCGAATCTTTGTCTGGAGTGCGAGTTTTAAGAGCGAACAACAGAGTATCTCGGACGGTCAAAGTTGCATAATGGAGATCATCTTCGGGGTTATAGGACACTGCAGGTTTAATCAGCGAAAGTATGCTTGCAGTGTGGATGAGGTAGCAACTGTACCTTCAGACCGGTATTTGTCGGCCATCAGTTCGGCATCTGCGCCACCATAACGTACATCTCCTTCAATACTTTTATAGCCTGCCCTTTGGTTGCCAATCACCTTCAGAAAAGTCGAGCATCCAGACCCCGGCCGTCCAAGAACTAGGAGCATCTCACCGGGTTTCACGCAGCCCTGAACACAGTCAGACAGTGCATTGATCAAAGTTAGAAGGGTACACAG